TATCACGTCTACGCCAGAGACGGTATATGCGAAACGAGCCCTCTGAATCCGTGCTGAGATTTCGTCAGAGATCAACCCGTTGGCACTGGTTGATGGTGCTTCCCAAATAAGTGAAGTGGTCAACGTGCTCTACCAATTCACTCCCTATTTCTAAACTGGGAGTCAGTGTAGTCCAGTCCTGTAACATCATCTTGCATTTGGCGGGAGCGAATCGCATGCCAAACATTCGTAGATTGCAGCTCAAGGTGTTCGGAAGACTCTGCATTTTGTCAGAGTCGTCGCCTAGGAGGACTATATCGTCTGCATATTCTAAGTCAACGAGATTATTTCCTGGTAGTAAGTCAATCCCTGTGTGTCTGTAGTGAGTTAGGGTTAATTCCATCAGTATATCTATGATGAAATTGAATAGAAATGGGGATAATGGACACCACTAGTTGTCACCACTTTGCCTTGTTTCAGACTAGTGACAGCTTTATTAACCTCAGTTAGGGGCGGAGGACCTGTGTCTTTGTCCCATTCAGGGAGGTGTTGGATGTTCGGCAGGTTGAGCGTGGCTGTGGGCCAATTAAACTGCTTCTCATAGCGCTCTTTCCAGCATTCCAGTCGTCTATCCTGGGAGCTAATTAAGGGGACATTTTTCTCAGAGATTGTTTCACTCATCATTTGCCTTTTACCATCTGTTTCCCTGATAAGCCTAAATAGTTGTCTGGTGTTGCCAATCGTCGATGCCTTTTCCATCTCTTTTGAATTTGTCGCCCACCACTGTTCACGATCGTTGCGAAGACTTTTTGTTAGTTTTCGTTTGAGTAGCTTTCGCTCCTCATCATAATCGGAGCTGGACGCAATCAGTCTTCTTGCTTCAGTCAGTTCGGATGAGGCGGTATAGATTCAATAGCTCTTACTAACTTTTGGTTTTAGCTTATTAGCAGCTTTTACAGCTGTGTCTATAGCTAACTGTATGTTGTGCTAGGCCACCTCAGGGGAAGTCCTGCTGTCGGCCTCAGACACTCGTTTCGCTATTTCTTCCTTAAATAGGGACTCATTGTCTAGTTGGGGAGGTAAATATTTCGCTGATGTCGATTTCTTATGTCCATTTAGTCGTAAGCTTAGACGCGCGCGAACCAGAGCGTAGTCAGAGTCTACACACTTGTGAAAAATAAATAAAGTATTGGTCACAGATAGTTTAGACGTAGAAAGAAAAGGTCTTTCAGAATGAGTAACACTGTTAACAACCCAGCATGAACATAGTTCCCCTTGAGATAAGCAGTACATCTATGCACATGTGCATCTATTAATTAAGTGTATTTTTCGAGTAACAAGTATCCATCACAGATGCGTATTTCATTCCATCCAATCAATCCACTATTTCCACAAAACCTAAAAGAAAGACCAGGAAAAACTGCAAAAGAAAATATATTAACCATACTCATGGGTAATGACGTGATTTGTTAATACGGTATTCGTCATATTGATTTGAAATGTTCCTGACCCGGGCCACTTTTCTTTATATTCGTTAAGATATTCACTGATAGCAACTTTAACACATAGTCGGTTGATAAAATAAACTGCCGTGCTGTTTTTAGTATCCATGATTTGTTTCTGTCTCGTGTGTTTACTGCAAAATTCATTTTCTAGCCATGCCTTTCTTCTGTATTGAGATCTTCATGTTATCAATATAAACTAGGTTGATTTCAAAAATGTGGTGTTATATGACAAATAATTGAACTATCAGGGATATATTTGGTCGAAGGACCGAATTAATGGTTGAAAATGGACATGAAAGAAATTGTTGTACAGCGTTATTCCTGTTAGTATTTCCAGCAAGTATGAAAAAAGAAAATAATATAATAACACTCACTAGAAAATAAACATATCTTGTATATTATGCTTTAACATAAGAATTAGCAGTAAAACTGAAGACTAAATATCTGGTGGTCTGATGACAAAGACATTGTCATTTTGGCAGTTGAGTGGAGTCGAATTCGCAGTATTTTCCAACTACAGTGGATTCGTGAACAAATGAGAAGTCTGTTAGTCAGTTGAAAAAATCTGAACTTTTTTGCCGATGTGCATTGTATTTCAGTGTAATTCATCCGTATTCATAGAACAGTTTAATTACGTAACTACTAGGTTTTCTGTGTCTGGTAAATAGCGGGAATATTTATTGACATGGGAAATATTTTGCTATACACGATTTTGCTAAACTTTATTTTCTGGCATCTTGTGACATTCAATCTGAAAACTGCTTAACACTCTGGTTTCTTGTCTTCTATCCTCTAACACATGAATACACACACATTCTTCACATGTATATCTTCACTTTGAAGACATTGCATACATTTTCTTAAAGTATAGTTGAATAATTTTTATGAGAATGGTAAAACCAATTTAAATACACATATATTGGTTATGGTAGGGGAAGTAACATGTAGAAGAACTACGGATGGGATGACGGTGAATGAAATGAGTCATCACACCATTTACTACAGAGGGTTTAGTTCGATGGCGGACGATTGGTTTTTGTGTTTAACCTGTAAGAAAAAGACTGATGAAAATTTATATTTCTTAAATCGCTCTTATTGTTCAACACAAAGACATATTTACGAATGCAGATGACATTTCGATGGTGGTTAGGACGCTCGCCGACCATGCACATGGTCCGAGGTTCGATTGCCTGCCGACGCACACCTGATATCAATGGTCGGCCTGCAAAATTTGGGCTACCGATATCATATGCTGAAAATTCCATACCTATACCAAAAATACGGTGTAAAATCAATCTATAAACAAAAAAATAAAATAAATCTTTTTAGGAGTAATTAGGTTTTCACTAGTTCAGTGAATATTATTTTGTGATGAGTTATTGATAAACAGCCAGAGAATATAACTTGATCATATATCTGAACAATTTATGTGGTGGATCAATTTCAAACAGAGGGACACTATCCTACAGTTGGTTATGCTAGTTATGAGAGATAAAGTGAACACAGTTTTAATTAAACAAGGTAATCATATGCCTTCTCCACCCGAGTTTGATAGTTATAGAAAAAGAAAAACTTAAGTTTCACATCATTTAACAACTTTTTCTAGCTCCGGATTTAGGTTTCTCTCAATATTTCAGACATTGACAGATTTTTTTAAATTAACTTGGGTTTGAGGTTTTAGCATCTTATATTTCAACGACAGAAATTCAAGGAGAATAGGGACTAGCACATATATGTATCCATTTCAGTAATCTTGCGTTGTTCACGTTACACTGGTATGAGCCATCACAACAATATTGTCTATAGTGGTAAATATCTGCAAACCTCAATGATTGGCGTTTTCAACAGAATTCTAAGTTATGTTACCGAGTGCTGTATTCGGGGACATGACTACAACTAACTATAAAAATCAGTTAGAGAACCCATGAAAATCTGGGAGTTGTGGATAACTGTTTCATCCTATTTTGGAACTCTTCAGAATTGCGCACCCATGACTTTATTAGAGATCAAACGCTGGGCATCAAGGTTACTACAAAAGCACTTTGATAATTCAGCCATTAAGGTTTAATCAAGTGATTCATGAATTACAATTTCTCTTAATTCGGGAAATGGCACTATTTCCATCCAATGCCATCCGCGAGTATCTTTCTTCATAATAAAGACATGATGCACTCACCAGTCATCACTTCGCATTACAACTCTAGATATTTCTATCTTTTAGTCAGACTGTAACGGTTTTTAGGGGTTCTGTAAACGATGCTGGTTCGTGACGAAACCTACCTTCAAGTCAGGCAAATCCCTACAGTTTTTTTTTATTTAGTTGTGTTCTCTGAGCTAGAGGCGAAGCTTTCATTGCTCTACTAGGCAACATCTTCATCACATACTTCAAAAGCATCCACCTCAGCTACAAATCTTCTCCATTATATCTAAATCCCTACAGTCCAATACTTGATAAAAAATTTATAGATTGATGTTTTAAATAATTCATTATAGCAATTCTAAGTAGACGATATTTCATTTATTCGCTTTTTTTCCATACACTGCTGAGAGGTTTCTTTTTCTACTGGTTAAACTAACGACATGAAATGGAAAGGAGAGAAGTTAAACACTAGAACATATTTCATTATCCTCTTTCTTCTTCTTTCCTTTCCGATTATTCTATTTATCACTGTTATTACTAATGTCTGTTTCCATTTTTCGCCTTATATCTTTGTGTAAATGTTTTTCACTTATTTGGTTACAAAACTTTAAAAAATTGACATTTCAAAGAAATAAACTGGAAGACGGATTAAAGCGTGATGGTGGGGTGGTATTAGAAATGATAGTTGGCACTGGTGGCAGTATTGACAGTAGATCATAAGTCTATAAAAAGAAGATAGTATACTTCAGTCTTCATTGTATTATTAATTATCATAAATACGCTCATTTGATTCTATTATATGAGCTGTGAGGTTTTTAGTTATTACAGTAAGATGTCTTTTAACACTGCTTATTATTATTATTTAAAGTATTATAAGTATCACTGTCTCTATCCTAACAATGATAACTTTCTCCCTCTCCCTCTCTTTGGGATAATGAGAAAATAAGGTGTAAATCTATGAAAGATTGAAGTTCTTTGTTAGTTGAGGAAACAGGTAAACAGGTAGGCGGCAAATAAGCAGTCAACTACACCACTTAAGTTTTGATGTTATCTGACTGTTTGAATGTCAGTTGAATGGTGTTCTTGATTCTGTAATCCACAGAACATCTAAGTTGGTTAAACTTTATTTTGAATTTGAATGTCAAGCAATAGTCTGGATTAAAATCTTTCACATTTATTTTATCGCTTCTGATTTGTATGTATTGGTGCCAACGTAGATTTTGTTAATAACCAAGATCAGTCGAAGAACGAGTGAAAAATTCTGGGCAATACATTCATTATATTCACTATTCACTTATCTCATAAATTCTTATTTAAACTAATAGTTTCTTTTCAACATCACTTTCCTTTAACTTATTATTTCTTTTATTTTGCAGAATGATGACCGTTGTTTAATTCCAGATTCTGCGCGCAGCAGTCCGACGTTACATGCAGCAAGTAACCGTATTGAGATGTCGTCCAGTCATCCAAGTCCTGGTGCTAATTCTTCACCACTTGTCCAGTTATGTACACGTCCATTATCTGTATGCACTGACTTTTCTTGTTCTAATAATACCATTAATAATAATAATAACAGTAGCAATGAAAGCAGTATATCCTGTAGTAAGACGGATATTATAGAGAATTTCGGTATCAATAATAATAAACGTAATAATAGTAATAACAGTAACACTAATCGTACACCTGTGACAGTGACAACAATTCCATCCTCATCACCTCACTCTCTCTATCCAAGCACGGAGATGAGTTCACACTCAATAATAACAGAAAGCACTGAGTTTTTAGTACACACAGAAGAAAAATCCCTTGATGGAAGAGCAGAAACACCACCGACGGTTCCAGCATGTGATCCATCATCAAATGTAACTCCAATCGCTTCCACTGCAACCATTTCAACAACTACTGTCGAGGAAATTGCTAAAGATAATATTTCTAGTGTTTATAATGTTAATGTTACTGACATTGGTGCGCAGAGTAGTATTCACAAACGTTCCTTATCGTTTGGTTCTGCGCTAAATAGTTTTGAAGGACCTTATTTATCTGAATCAAAACAATCCTGGATTAATTCAGCATCACCACTGTTGTCAACAGCAACAACAACTTTAGTTCAGACAACGGTTTCATCATTGTCATTATTATCACGCAGAATGTCAAGTTGTTTATTATCATCATCGTCAGTTTCTGAAACAATAGGAGTAACCCCGTCATCAGTAGAAGTGACATCAACGACAGTATCCCCACCACAACCATCTGCGATAACGTCGACTAATTCGTCATTAACATCAGTTTCATCATCATTTGGCACTTGTCCCGCGATAAAACCTGAACGACGATGTGCTGGTGTAAATACTGTTCTTGATAATTGTAAGGCTACATTGACAGAACCAGATTTATTGGGACCATGTGAACCAGGAACTACTATCTGCCTAAATGGTATTGTATGGTTAGAAACAACCACTGGTAGGTTAATAAATACAAACTACATAAATAATTAAGTGATTAATGCATAGATTTCTCTAAGAAAAAATTAACTTGTGTATAATATAATTGTTAAATTGTCGTAAATGTACCTGTGAATACTGACTGATACTTATGAATAAATCATATAATGTAATCATTAGGATAAGTGATACAGTATTCATGTATACTCTGTTTCTAATAATAAATACAAGAAGTCAGTCTCCTGCAATTTTGATGCTCATTGGTACTTACTAGAAAATGTATCTGTGATATTTTGCACTTGAGTCATTGAATGGTGAAATCAACAACCTTATCAATAAGTTATTCAGGTCAAACTATTGTTTCTTATCACAATGTTAGTTATAAATCTCGAAAGAGGATTTAAAAAAAACAAAAAGCTTTGGATCATGCGTCATTCGGTCATCTACCTATTGACTTCTCTTCTAGTCAAAATGTTTTGTGTTCTAGTTTAAATGTACTGCCATCATATGAAAAAGTAATAATTATGCTACAAACATGTTCAATTTCATGTTACTAGGTCATCGGTCACACGTATTTTGTAAAAACTAATAACATTCTGTCTTAGTGTCCAAAGTACATTGTTAAAGAGGATGAATTTTACATTTATAACGTACTATTTGGAGATTGAGTACATCCAACCAACGACCAAAGTGAAATAAACGATGAGAAAAAGTTTAAAAAATTTCTTTCCTTCATGTTCCCAGTGGAACATAGGGCCTCAAGTTGGTGGCTTGAAGTTTCTGTAGGTGTTTATTTTTACAGGATGGGGTAGCTAGCCTCATGCCCAACCTTTCCTCTTTACTAGCATTATTTCTGGCTGAGTGAGGTAAAGGAGTGAGTCGGCCGGAGATCGAACTCTGGACCATGTGCATGGTCGGCGAGCGTCCTAACCGCTATGCCACCGACGCACCCTTAATTTAAATTTTAACCTTAAGTGAATTCCTTGACTTATCAATGCCTTAGTGTACATTTCCTGATATCCTAATGAATGAAGTGGAATATTACTGAACAATGGTGTTTGCTGAACCTATTACTGATTGGTTGGTCAGTTTATCTGGCTTATTTGCTACAAGTTCTTTAACAGGTTGAAGTTACAGGTGAAACTATACAGTATTTAGACAATGGATTTGTGGAGGCCTAACTGATTTTAAGGCAGGTTTCGTCTTGAACTAACACCGTCTAAAAAGCTGCCAAGAACCATGGACAGTTGTTTCGTTCTAGTTTTGAGCTTTTCATCTATGCAACCATATAAAAAAATTTACGAAACTTAAAATTCATCTATTATCATATCCCAGTCTAGAGGTTGATTGGTAACCTATTCGCGCGATGTACGCTTATAATCACTGAGACCATAGATATCGCTAATTTCCTGGAAAAATTTGAAGGCCAGTCAAACTGAATCATTTTTTGTAACGTACAATTGGTGGATGGTGGCTAGCAGTGGATTCCTTCATGGAATTTACGTGTTTTAGAGTCAATAGGCTTAAACATCAGTCTCCAATAGTTCGGAATATTGATTCTTAGTTAAGCTTAAATATTTACATTTCTTAAAATAGACTCCTTTAATTTTTCTCGGGAAAGAAAAGACAAACAAATTTGCGGTGTAAAATTTTCTCATTTTACTTTAAAACTTCACCTTCAGTAGTTAAACAGTGTGAAACATTCATACAGTTACACCACTTGAAACACCGGTCATTCCTATCCGATATTCTATTGCAGGAGGAAAGTGCTCTTATTTCGCTAAATATTTGAGTGAAAAAGGATGAAAAGATATGAGTAATTTTACGTCTTTTATACCAGTAACATACAATTGATAAATAATTAGACGCTCAGTTGACTAACATCACAAGTACTGGCATTGTTGTACTGCCTGTAAATGGTATTTTATCATGTCAGCTTACTGTAGCAATGCGAGGGTTATTTACTGTTGAAATTCACCTGTAAAATGTTTCAATAGAAGTAATTTTAAGTAAAATTGTGTAGTATCTTCTCGAGAGTAGGAAACTGTGAGTTACTTAGAAGATATGTTGGTTTGCGAGCGCTTATACTTCAGCTTAATTATGTTGAAATGTTACTACAATAATAAGAAAGAAACAATTGGAAGGTGATATCTTCTGTTAAAATGGTTTATTAATTATTTTGTAAAAGTTGTCCTTCTTTTTGATAAAGATTCATTTTATGAAGACTATATTGGTTTCATTAGTTACTGAGAATTTCCGCTGTTATTTGACGGGAAGTGCTTGTCACTTTCAGTTGTATAATTGCATATGAACTCAAAGCAGTAGACCGAAATAAAACTACGACAAATATCGGCTGACACCATAAACCATGTTACTAAGTCATGCAAACTGAAATTTTTACACAGTTATCCCGATGCATTTGAATAGTCTAGCAACAAGTCTGGAGACACAGGTTCAAAGGTATGAATGTGACTGTGCTAAAAATCGTGGAAATAATTAAATAAATAATATAATAAGAGATTATGTAAAATGTCTGATAATAATAATATTAATCTTCAAGATTCAGAAGAAGCTAAAATGTGAACGAAATTGCTTCTTTTTAGCCAAATTTAGCCATTGACAATTCAAGTTCCTAAAAAGTCAAATTGAGTCGTTTTGTGAACAAGCTCTACAGTATTATATATAATTCTCTGATCTGTCGACCTTGTGTTACTATTGTACCAGTCTGCTGGCTGAGCTCTGGTATCGTTTTAATTTTATTTGAAATTGTTATGTACTCGTCGAGTAGTTAATAGTCCTGACGCGGAAAGAGGGAAATCAGAAGACCACCAGGTTTACGATGATATTTGTATTTTCCAGACAAGGAAAATAAATGTCACACAAGTGTGTGAGTGGAAGGGAACTTGGATGTACGCACGTGGGAAACAAGAATGATAAAGTGTACAGTACAAAAGTATATATAAAAATGGCTAATACACATGAACTAATAAATAGCCAGTCTTAACATGATTGATTGTAATGCCGTGTGACAACAAGTTCATACATGTTTATTTAGTTAATGAACAGACAAAAGCATATTGTCAGTTATAATGAAATATCGATCCATATACACATAGCAAAATAGAACAGACTGTCAAAAACAAAACACACATCATGTGGGTACATATCAGAAACCCCAACGGTTTTGTTGATATAAGAATAAAACTTGTGCACTGCGGTAGAGTGTGATTCCACTATGGGTAAAATTTGTTTTGATAAAGTCTCACAGTGTTATTCTGTAATGTTTACTGATGACGTTTCGAACACAATTTATTGCTCATAATCATAACAAGGTACTCACACGACATCCTAACTTCATTTATATAGTTCCATCATTTTTCATTTGATTTTCACTTGATTTGACTGGTAGTAGTATTTTCCATATTTCGGGTATGAGTGATGAATCATTCCTATTGCATGTGTTTGGTGTAGACTCGATCAACAATGACTGTGAGGTCAACTACATAGGTCAAACTAGTACATCGGCGGTAATCAGATTATCGGAACATAAGAATTTAGCTAAGGTAAGAATGGTTGACCCCACTCGCGAAGATAAGTAATTTATAAAAAAGCTCAGCGATTGCAATGCATGCATTAACACACAACCAGACAATAGGGTGGGAGAAGGTTAAAATTCTAAAAAATGATCTATGTAGGTGGAGAGAGAGGTTGATTACTGAATCGTGGTTCATTGAATTTACACCCAACACGTGCAATAGGAATGATTCATCACTCATACCCGAAATATGGAAAATACTACTACCAGTCAAATCAAGTGAAAATCAAATGAAAAATGATGGAACTATATAAATGAAGTTAGGATGTCGTGTGAGTACCTTGTTATGATTATGAGCAATAAATTGTGTTCGAAACGTCACAAGTAAACATTACAGTGTAACACTGTGAGATTTAATCAAAACAAATTTTACCCAAGGGTTTTTCTTAGTTTCTAGCTCTATATGGTGACCAGAGTCAAATAAAGCCTTTTTTATGGAATTGTAAGAAAGTGGATGAATGATACATAACTCTCTGTTCATTACCGTATAATCTGATGTAATGTGTAAATAGTTTAACTTATAAATTTATTAAAACCAACTAAGAAAATATCATTACTTAATAACTGACTGATGAGAAAAGAATATTTGCTTATAATCGATCCCTTATAATTTTATATTTATACAATTAGATAAAGGTAAATATTCTTGTATATATTCATGAATAATAATAATAGCTTCAGCTTTTGTGATTTATTTAGAGTGCAACTTAAGTAACACGTTTTAATATGTATGGTAATATGTATAGCATAGAAAAAAGAATTATCGATGATTAGTATTTCTAGAACCAAGAATTTAGAAACTACATGTATGTATACATATGCTTACCACACTGATACACATCTAGGCGTGACTGTAACACATGAGATAAATAAGTTAAATATAAGCTGATAATTATATAATCATGATATTGTGTTCAATTATCTTCCTGTGTTTCTGCATGTTTTGGTGGTGATTAAAAATTAATGCTAGTTAGTTTGAAAATAAAGAAAAGATACTGCTAACAGTATACTCATTTAGTGTACTTCAGTCTGGCGGCTTTCCAAATTATTAATTAATTGAATTATAATGGGTTTAATTCTCCTATGATGATTCTGTTTATGTTTGCAAGAAAGTGATGCACTGACTGAAAGTTTCTTTGCGAACAGAAAATAGTCGTCTAATTTTCACTGGATATCCTATAAGGATTTGGAATAATAGGTGGTAAATATTTGAGAAATATCACTACCCATCACGAAATATGAATCAAGCCTTCTGAAAATTGTTTCAGATTATGGGTTTGTGGGGATTTAAATTATTTTCAGTGTAAATTTTGTCATTAACCAAAATGAATTATTGAATCACTGAAAGCTGTTTTGTCATAGCTCAGGACTGTCTTCCGTAGATTGTTTGTGACTAAATTTTACTGCTTCACTTGATTCCTCCG